CTGGGTAGCCATCTACAGCCCGGTGGGCCAGCTGGAGGCTTCAGCTCTGCTGGGAATTACAGCTGAGGACTATGCTGGCCGTTATGATGCCTGCCCTCAGCGGAGTGAGCTTCTGGAATGGCTACGGCTAGACACTCGGTTGAGGATTCAGGGTCTCCTGAAGCAAATCTTCTTTCCTTTTTTGGCAAGGTTCGGGCTGATTCTGGGAGCCCAACATCATGTCACAAAGCCGTTGATCCCCCGTGCAGTTCCAGGGGCATTCTTTCTTGTAGGAGTGCTCGGCTCTTTGCGTAGTCTGCGTCGAGATTTGAGCTCATACCTTTAGGGTGCTCCTGGCCGCTTGCAGAAGTGGCTGGGTTTAAGTAATATAGGGGCCTTAAAAATTAGAAGAGGGCTTGGGGGCAAGGAACCCCCAAAACCCTATTCTACTTCTTAAGGCCCTAGATTAGGCTTGTGGTCGGGCCTGGTATACCTGCCGAATATTTGCACCACCGCCGAAGATGCGAATCGAAGCTCCCCAGCTCCGGAACTCCATATCCTATGCCCTCAACCTTAAGGACGAAAGGAGCCCTAAAAGGGTTTAGGGTTCATATACCATCTAGGGATTCATAGTATAAGAGGGGGGCCCCCTACTTTTAAGGTTCCTTCCGTCCCTAAGGAAGCCGTAGCCCTCCAAGCCGCACTACTCCCGTTGTATGTAAGGCTTTAGGATTAGGGAGCCCTAAACCTGAAACTGTAGTTTAGGGTTTAGGGTTTAGGGGAATTTAAGGATCAACCCTGCCTGAACTTTACACCCTTTTATCTGTAAACCCTAGACTGCAAAATATCTAAAACCTTAGACCGCTACTGCATCTCAGGTGAACCTCACGCTTCTCAGCGTCTACACACTGGAAGCTCTCTGTCGAGCGTTTGTGGAGCGCAACTCGCCGGTCGTGAGGGTTCAGGGTTTGCGGGGTTGGGGACTTAGCCGGGTTCAGGGTTTAGGGTTTAGGGTTCAGGGTTTAGGGTTTAGGGTTTAGGGTTTAGGGTTTAGGGTTCAGGGTTTTGACACTTGCACAAAAGTAAAAGCTACTGTAGGAACCTGGTTAAGAAACCCTGGTCCTATGATCCCAAAATATCAGGATCCTCAATATACGGAGCCCGAATAGTAACGACTCAAGGTTTCTGAATTAGGTTCCAATGTTATTGTCAGTGCTGAAGGCTTTCGTTCTGCTGCTTCCACTGCTGATGCCTGCTGCTTTCTGTTGCAGCAGCTGCTGCTACTGCTGCCGCCACTACTGCAACTCTATGATTCAAGTGTCTGCACCGTCGGATCTTGGCGAGGCTCCCAATATTTCTGCAATCGATGGAATGTGGTGGACCTCTTGGCGGTTCTTCTGGGCTGGCCGACGGTACTCTCCCTAGGCGCAACTGGGTGAGGGCTCCAGGATTTGTGGGTTTACAGCGCTTTTTTGTTCAGAGTTCTGCAAGGTTTGGGATTTGGGGGCTGCGATCTCCAACGGTGATTGCTTCGGATCGATCCTGAGGCTATTTGTATGGACCCTATAACCCGGAATCCTTGCAATTCTGGAATTCCTCATTCAAGCCTCTATATAGGCTTATTGGAGCTGCTGATGCCTTAGAATCAGCCTTAAAGCCCGTCCTGTTTCAAAACGAACGGGATTTGCGTGTTAGTGTTGCTCCGGGTCTAAGAAAATCATCACACCAAACCCCAAAACCGCGAAAACAATCCTACACCTGAACCTCGTAGCTATCCTCAACGACACCGGGCCGGGAGGCATCGATCGGTTTAGGGTTTAGGGTTTAGGGTCTAGCAATGCAAGAGCGAAAAGAAGCCTCCAAACCTGATTGTTAGACCTGCGGAACCTCCCAAACCCTTACAGCCCAAACCCCCCAAGGCATATCCAAGATCTAAATCTGGATTACACCTGTAGAAACCCTAAAGCCCCTCGCATACCCTGAAGCCACGAAAGGGATCCTGCACCTAATCCTTTCCTAAACCCTAAACCCGAAACCCTAAACCCTAAACCCTAAACCCTAAACCCTAAACCGAACCTTTGCGAACCTTGAAACCCCTTAGCACTGGGAGGGTTCAGCCTAAGCCTAAGCCGTAAAACCAATGCTGAAGGCAATTGTCAGCCTGTGTTGTTTGGCTCTCCTTCCCAAAGCAAGCTCGCTTGTGGGTTCCTAGCCATGCGAGAGCGGCAAAAACCCCTAAACCCTAAACCCTAAACTAGGGTTTAGGGTTTAGGGGAAATCTGACTCCAGCTCCGGTGAGGCTCGGGCAATCTCCACCTCCTGCGCATGGTCCGGTTCGTACGGCCACTGGACGCCACGGAACTACTGGTACTCACCTTAACCCAAATACCCCCATCTTTGCAGTACTTAAATATACATGGAAATCATGATAAGGAGCCATAAAGCGGTATATAGGGTCAAGGTAGGGTATTTTGAGTTTTAGGGCTTTGGGATTGGAGGGTTTGGTTGTTGTATCTAGGCTTGCAGGATACTTGTTGTTTAATGTATTGATAATAGGGGCATGAGGAAGCTTTACAGAATATCTTTTATATATGCTTGACTGTCGGGTTTGAGGGCCTCGGGGCGTAGAGTCCCGGCATTGCCCTCATGGTTCATGTACTTGTTTGATCCTTGCATGTACTGGATTCTGGAGTACCATACTTGACTTTTTTGGCCTGTTCCTTAAAGGAATCATTTTTAAATACAAGTCTATGCTTTTGTCTTCTTGGTTGCTTCAAAGTCCAGTGCAGTACGTTTTGCGGACGACCGTTCAATGTTGGAGAAATTGGTTACCAGCAGGTAATTACTACATTGTAGGGACCGCGTATGTGGCACATGACATACATGGGCCGAAAAGGTACTATTGAGCCCCACACAGACAAAGCCCTAAAGCCCAGGGCCCAGGTGCCCTGGACTCCAAAAGAGCGGCTGGGCCTGCTAACTCCGCTTTGGGGGGCTGATTAGCTGGGTTGGGCTCGTAATTAGAGTTCTTGCTTTTAGGGCTTCAGGCTTCAGGCAGAGATTGGGATTTTTTTCACCCCTAAACCCTAAACCCTATAGCCCTAAACCCTACAGAAGGAACCCTAAACCCTGAACCGTGCCGGGAAGCACGAGGCTGATCCGCGCACTGCGAGTCATCATCTCCGTGCCAGAGCTCTACTTGCTGGTGACGGGCTTCTCATCCTCCATCAAGGTGCAAGGGGTGTCGGGTTTAGGGTTTCAGGGGCTTCTGAGTTACTTAGGGGCCTTTGGGAGCTTTGACGGCCTTGCATATTCCGTTTTGGAGTTTATATAGGTAGTTGCAATCTAGAGAATCTGGCTCTGTCGGATTGCCTTACATGCTGCCTCGGAATGACGCCTTCCCTTGCACTTTTCAATAAGGTTTAAGATTCCTGGCGTATTTCCAGTATCAACTTCTCTCAATGCAAACGTAGACGACATATTCAGCAGTCATTCTTCTGAGTTGTCAGTACCCGAACTTAAACCCAAGTCCGAGCTCATTTTAAATGTTTTAGCCGTCCGACGCATGCTCTTATGTGGTAATAGCAGGAATGAGAACGCCAGGCACCTTAGAAAGGACCTTTCCGTAGAGATGGTGGTACTAGGACAGAAGCTCTCCGTACACGAAACTTAGCTTGGCCAGGGAGCAGTCAAACAAACATTCATAAATACCGACATACAAGCAGTCGAACACTAAAAACAAAACGCAGAGCCACACCCCCCCAACCAACCAACCAACCACCTGTGGTTGGGGTGTACCCTAATCACCTCGACCAAAATCCCTTTGGCCATGGCCTAAACCCTAAACCCTATAAACCCTAAAAACCCTAAGCTCATGCTCACAGCTTAGGACCTGCGGATCCCAGTGCGCCTATATTAAGCCCACCACTGAAGCCGAAAAGGTTTAGGGTTTAGGGTTTAGGGTTTACTGAAGCCGCAGAGGCCATCATCTTTGGTTCCCTTCTTCTGGTGGCCGCCTTGGTGTTCTGGGCCGTCATTGCCGTGGAGGTCCTACATCCCATCATCTCGGTCCTCCCCTATCCCGACTGTGGCTTGGGCCAAAATTAGTGTTGTTGTATTGAATTTGGAAGGATCTTTTCGCAACAGGATTCTACGCAGACCTTTATAGAGCCCTCATACAGAGCCCTGGCAGAGAGCCCTAAACTCTAAACCCTAAACCTTAAACCTTAAACCCTAAACCCTAAACCTTAAACCCTAAACCCTAAACCCTAAACCGCTTTCCATGTCCCTGACAAACCTCGCACAGGATGCTAGCAGATCCCTAGTCAGAGTCCGTGATTTTATGAAATTACTGGTGACTGCTGCCATCGCGGCTTGTTGCTGACTGGAGTAGAGCTTGGGGGGTATATTGTGGTATATGACATGGAACTAGGTGGGGATATCATTGCTAACTGTTTTGACCTTTGCATTCTTATTCCTTGGGCTTGTCCCCCAAACCGACGGAAACTTTGTAGTAGCATGGCTCGACAACTTCTGAAAAAGGTGTCCTGTAACTCCCAGAGCTGAGGAGGTGGTGCATGATAGAGCTTTCGATACAGGGGTTGGTGTATGGTGCTGTCGATTGAAGGGATTTTGCGTTTGCTGTGGGGTTTGGGGTTAGGCATCACAAGCACGTATTTGGAGGGTGACGATTTAGTCAGTGGTTTGCAGAAGGTCTGCATGCCTTGCGTCCACGATTTTCGCCACCCTTAATCTAGCTGCCTTAAAGGATACAGATGCCTTGCCTGCTGTGTTCGACCTAGCAATGCACGAGGCAACCACACGAAACAGAACGGTAAGGGTAGTAGTGCTGGAAACACATGTACTAGTAATGATCCGAAGGGTCCCGGTTTTGCGATGTAGGATTGTTCCCTGGCAAGGAATAAGGACCTCACATGTTCGATAAAAGTCCGTCTGTAGGTCGAAACTGTTCGGCTGGATTCAGCGGCATCTTCGCCGCGACAGTTACGCTTTTCCAGCAGATGGTCATGGGAGATGCATGGGGCGCGATCTTTGCCTGCAAAGAAGACGCATCAAGTCTTGACAAACGAAAGCGCACAGTCGAAATCCAATTAGTGCCCTTTATTAATTAAGCCTCCGCTAATGCAAACGCATTCACAAAACTTGGCCAGGATCCAAGAGCCAGCTCTGCCTCGCATTGCTGAGCCCAAACATGCAGTCGGATGACCTTCGATGTGGGAGCATGCCTGAGAATAGCCAAGGATTTCTTTGCCACTGATTGAGGCGCCGCAAGAAGCTCGAGCTTCGCTTGTATGGTTCCAGGTTTGAAAAGTCGGGATCACTGAGAGGGTCACGTGATATCATTCTATGCAATAATGACGGGAAGCCTCCCTGAAAAGTTTTAAAAAGACCAAGTGCGAGATAATATGGGTGGGGACACATGTCTGGGTCTCTCAAAGCCACATTCGTTCCCTTATCCTGAGGCGAGCGCTTCGTAAAGTAGCTGCTTGTGAGTTAAAGTGTACTGCTACTCCTCGCTGCTGCTCTAATTACTGCTACCGACGACGACAACGATGGTTCGTCTGGTAATGGTGTTCTCAGTTTTCAGCCCAAAGCAGTGCAGCGGCTGCAACAGTCAGAGAAAGAGAACAAACATTATCCCATGTACCCCACATGTCAGAGCTACTGTTCAAGGAATTCTGCTGTCTTTGAGGATAACGACCCATCCAGCAGAGTGTTGGTTTTGACTAAGGTTTAGACTTTAAAAATGTGGATGAATCTGTATGGCCGTCGAGAGAGCCATCATCCGATTTGATTTTGGAGAGGTGAGCCCTCGTACGCGTACAGCGTACGCACACGGCCACCGTAAGCCGCCAAGCCCTAAACTCTAAACCCTAACCCCTAAATCCTGAACCCTGAACCCTATCCCCTCATCCCTAAACCTTAAGCCCCCCTGAACCCTAAACCCTAAACCCCTAAACCCCTAAACCCTAACCCCTAAACCCTGAACCCTAAACCCCTAAACCCTAAACCCTGGAACACGCAGACCCAAGCTCCTAAACTTTGAACAGCCAACCAGCCGAAAAGCACCCGCAGCCACAAAACAACAACCCCCAGCTCCCCCGTTTAGGGTTGAGGTTTGTTTAGGGTTTAGGGTTTAGGGAAAGGTCAGTGTCCTGCAAGAACCGAACTTCCCCTAGGGCCCCCTAACCTCATACCTATAATGACAACAGTGATAACAGTACAACAATTTGACAACAATCATAATCATAAACAAGGATATTAACGCAAAAATCAGAATAATACCTTCAATATTTGGGCCTTGCCAGTTCCGTCAGTTGGAAGTCTTGCAGAGGCAGCCCCATGGACTTTCCCCGTCCTCTTTGTGATGATGATGACGGTCTCTCTGGGTGCCATGAATCTTATCCTCGCCGTGATAGCAGCTGGATTGAAAAGCCTAAACCCCCAAACCCTGAACCCTAAACTCTAAACCCCATAAACCCCTAAACCCTAAATCATACACCCTAAGCCACTAAACTCGAAATCATAAGCCTTAAACCCCCAGACCCCAAACCCTAAGCCCTGAGGCCCGAAGCCCTCCGCGCGGGCACAGTTGCGGGGCTCGGTGTAGGGTTTAGCCGGAAAGGCCATCTTCGGGGCGAGTCGTGGGTTTGAGGTGAACTGGTCCTGTGCTTTGAGCGGATGGTGTAATGGGCCATACTGGGGTAAGGAAGGCGTGTTGTAGGGCTTTTTACGTTTAGCGTCATTGGCCACACAGCCTTGAGGTGCTGCATATGGAACCCCACATTGCGTCATCCTTGCATTGAATCCTCGCGTTTAGAACTACACCTTCGTCGTGTTGTTTCGGTGCAGGTTTCTTTGCGGATCGCCAGAAACATGGACTTCTGATTTTTATGTTTGTTCTTTCGGCTCTTTGGATGAAAAAGATGGTCGGGTTTTTTCAAGCTGTGTGGCGGGGTGTAACTAAGCCTAGGGTTTGGGGGCGGATGCTTTGTTGTGGCAGCTTGAAGAGTACCTGCCCCCCTGTCATGAGACGGGCATCACCCCAAATCACCCCCCAACGATGCTGTGATTGACTTTGGGCCCCGACATGTTTATCTTCGGATGGATTCGGCAGGGTGTTGCATGTGTCCTTAGACCCCTGATGCTCCTGGCCTTGTGAATATTTGTAAACACCAGCCCTAAACCCTAGACACTAAAACCCTAAACCCTAAACCCCTAAACCCTACTAAACCCGAAGCCATAGCAAAAAAAGTCCTAACCCCTAAACCCTAAACCCCTGACCCCTAAACCCTGCTAAACCCGAAGCCATAACCCGAAGGTCGAGCGGGCTGCGCAGGGGCGGGACAAGGATCAGGAGCGAAAAATCAAGCAAAAGGAGCTCAGCTGGGTTTAGGGTTTAGGGTTTAGGGTTTAGGGTTTAAGGTTTAGGGTTTAGGGTTTAGGGTTTAGGGTTTAGGGTTTAGGGGAGTTCTGGGTGTGGTTGCGGGTTTGGGGGGCTCGTGGGGTTTGTGTGGGGAGGGGTTACTGGGATGGGGTTGGGCTTTCGAGTTAAACTTGTTTCAGGCTTACGGGTTTGAGGTTAAGGCTTTCAGGATTTGAGAGGTTTAACTTAGGGTTTACGTTCAGGTTCAAAGTTGCTAGGCTGCGGTGTAAGTATGCTGATGCGGCGGCCTTTCAAAAGCCCCACCACAGCAGCCCTGAACGCCCAATATCCTACCGCTCAAATCTCAGACCCTGCACCAACTCCTAAACTCTCAACCCGAGATGCCGAAGCCACAAAATTCTGTAGCCGCCGCATATCCTCGAGCTTCGCAGAATCACCCCCGAAACTACCTGAACCCCCCTAAATCCCATAGGTTTTAAGGCCCAAAAGCTAGAGCCCTCACCCTAAGCCCGAATAACCCCTAATTTTCCCTAAACCCTAAACCCTAAACCCTAAGCCCTAAACCCTAAACCCTAAACCCTAAGCCCTAATAACCCCTAATTTTCCCTAAACCCTAAACCCTAAGGGAAAAAACCGCTAGTACAGAGTTTGGAAGACTTTGGACCAGCATCCCCAAGGCCCCACCAAAACGAAAGCACTATTCGACGGCTTAGGGCTTAGGGTTGAGGGTTGAGGGCTTAGGGTTTAGGGTTTAGGGTATAGGGCTTAGGGTTGAGGGTTTAGGGTTGAGGGTTTAGGGTATCTTCGACCCCAATCCAGGAGGAGGAAAGGTCGAAGAACATGATAGACCTGGCCGTGCTATGTGCCACGATGGATGAAGACAACAGTGGATCGCTCTCCCTGGTAGAGATGCATCCCGGTTGGAAGTTTAGGTTTCAGGCCTGGTGGATTTCCTCGCTCATACATTTTTTTTGGTTTTCGGAGGCCTTGCGCAAGTTTTGGGGACTCTGGGCCAAGCCACTTGCAAGGCACAGGATATGTTGGTCTGGCATGGCTTTCTTGTCCTTGACCCGTGAATGGAGTGCTACCTGCGTCCCTTTACCCAGATCTGACGCACCCAACATTCATCTTTATCTAGCACGGCAAACCCAATGGCTGCTCCAAAGCAAGGCCCTAGAAATCGTTTCAAAGCCCATCAAGGCCCCATTTGGCCGCATTACACATTACCCTAAACCCTAAACCCTAAACCCTAAACCCCTAAACCCTAGTAGGTATAGATTCAAGAAGGAAGCCCAAAGAATCATCTTGGTAGTTCTTTACCTCCAATCCTAAACCCTCAGAACCTAAAACCCAAACCCTACAGCCCTAAACCCTAGTCCGTAAACCCTAGTATAAACCCTAAAAACCTAAAACCCTAACTCCTAGAGCCCTAAACCCTAACCCCTAAAACCCTAAAGCTATAGACCCTAAAACCCTAACCGCTAAGACCCCAAAGCTATAGACCCTAAAAGCCCAAAACCCATGTTAAGACCTTTTAACCCTAAACCCTAAACCCTAGAACCCTAAAACCCTAAAACCCTAAAAACCTAAACCCTAAACCGCGCAGGCTGCAGGGCTACGATCGGAACGAAGAGTTTCGAAAGCTCATGCAGGTGATGGCAACTTGGCTTTAGGTTTTAGGGTTTAGGGTTTAGGGTTTAGGGCAGGAGATGACAACTTGGCTTTAGGGTTTAGGGTTTAGGGTTTAGGGCAGGTGATGGCAACTTGGCTTAGCTTTAGGTCAATTCCCCCTTTCGGGTTTAGGGTTCCGGGTTTCGGGTTTCAGGTTTAGGGTTTAAGGTTTAGGGTTGCAGGTCGTCCTCCGGACGGTCACCAATATAGCCCCTATTCGCACACGTCCCTTGTGGTGGGCACTTCTGCAAGGCAGGTTTACCTAAGTTCAGGGTGGATGGGTGCTTACTACCGTTAACCCCTAAACCCTAAACCCTCGACCCTAGGCTCTAAACCCTACTTCCTACCGGTACGATGTTCAAGACCTTGGGCCTTGGCTTTGGGGGCTTTCGAGTTTCGCTTTCCTGGTGCCTTCCTGGGTAGCTCTTGTTGCAACCGAAAACCCCATAATGCCCTGAGCTTCATTATGTTTCGGTGACCATGAAGGTTGAGAGAAGTTCAGGCAACCCAGTACTGAACTGATTTCTGGGGCGAGATATGATTTTCAGTTTTCAATTTCTTGCACCCATGATCATGACCCACATGTATACACCCCGCAAAGATTTTAGACACGAATTGTGGATGACATGCTCATGGCGCCACTTGTAATCATAGTCCCGACAGCCTGCAGCTCCAAACCCACAGGGCTCAGAAATCACTTCGTTTGGGGTGGCACAGGACATCAAGCGAGATGACATGCAGACCATTTTCCGTGTCCTTGACAGCGATGACTCCGGCGAGGTACAACGCCCAAGCTTTCACCGAGCTTGTTGTTTTCCATATCGTACCATTTGGACAGGATTGCTGTTCGGTTGCCAGGAGTCATTGGCTCGCTACACGATTCGGGATTCGGGGTGATTTGCAGTTTACGTAAGTGTTCCTGATTTGCGTTTGAGGGTTGAGCTATGCCATTTCCCGGTCTTCAGAGGGCACCATGTACCGAGATGCATTTGCGGTCATTGAGACAGTAAGCTTTCCACATCTCCGCGCTTCTTGTTGAAAGAAGCACGGGACTCAGTAGCTGGGTTTCTTTGGCTTCTCTGAACTGTACTCCCTAAATCCTATCGAGACGTACCATAGAGGCCTGAACAACTGATGACTAATCTTATGCCTTCGGGTTCCTTAGTATGCTTATATCCTCAGAAACCCTAGTCTAATTGCTGCGGCCGCTACATTACACTAGTTGAGGGTACGCGGAGGCGAGGGGTTAGAAGTTCCTGAGGGGTCAGACTCCCGGCACCTTCATTCCTCAGGCTTCAGGCTCAGGGTGTCTGTGAAGGTTTTATACGGGTTATCCTCAAGGTTCCCAAAGGTTGCTATGAGGCTTCTGTAACTGCTTCTACCCAAAAGGGTCCCAAGTACGTACAGAGCAGAAACTAGGTTACTTGATCCGGGATTGCTGTTTTGGTTTGGGTAAGCATCCCTTTTCTGGGAGTTTCCGAAAATATGGGGGTACCTTATTTTGGGGTCTCTATAATAGGGATCCTATTATTTAGGGTAATCTATGAGGGTCCCCGATTTTCGGCAACCCCCATATAGGTTCGCAAGGCCTAGTGGGCCGTGTTGGTGTAGGGATGTAAGAGCGCCTGATAGAGCGTGGAAAATGCAACGACGCCGAAGCCTAGCCTCGACATGTTTAGGGTTTAGGTCCTAGCCGCATGGGGTAGTCCTCTAATTTAGGGTCCCTCTTCAGGTCTCCAAAATGGTACAGCACCTTCAGAACAAGGACCCAAAACGAGACCCCAGCATAGAGAACTACCCACATGCTTTCCGTAATCACCAGGCGTTTTGGCTTAAGGTTTAGGAGGGATATACTCTGTTGCAAAGCTTCACCCATAAGCTGTCCTTAGAAGCGCAGTTACCTATGTAGTGGGTTGCTGGCTCTTAAACTCTTTATAGACCTTATACTACAGTACCCATAACCCAGTAACTTACTGTATAGGTAACTGGGCTCTTTCGGTATGAGAGCCTAAACCCTAAACCCCTAAACCCTAAACCGTTTTTGCGTATGAGGTCTGGGCTCTTTAGGCTTGAGAGTCGGCAGGGGGCGAAGTTCTAGCAACAAAAGTGACGACCAAAGAGCAGACTTCCACAATGCACTTCCTAAACCCTCAACTCTGGGCCCTCAAGCCCCAAACCCAAACCCCCGAAACCCAAAGCCCTTAAGCCTCTAGAATGTAGGAACCTAGTTTATCAACTCAAAGTCTTTATTTGGGCTCTTTGTTTGAATCCTGAATAATTACCGCGGTTTCCTCACTGCCAAGCCGGCAAGCCTAACAGCAAGGTGTCTTACTTCGAGTTCTGCCAGCATCTGGGCAGTTTCCTCGAGCGTGATCCGGTGGTGATGCACTCCCTGGTGAAGCGCGGAAGTAGGTTTAGAAAATTAGGGGTTTCGGATTTCGGGGGTGTGGGTTTAGTACGTAAGGCTGGCGGAGCTTAGGGTACGTGTTCTTGGGACTTACACTGACTTATCATATGAGGGTTCAAGGGTGGAGTGTTTAGCCATGAGGAGCGTCAATGCTTTCAGCGTGAATAGCCCCGGCCCCCAACCCTAAATCCACAAGTCGTTCCGTGGCGGAGCCTAAACCCTAAAATGTCCCTAAACCCTAAACCCAAGAGACCCCTTAGTGCAAGTGAAGTTCTTGAGTTCATTGGCAAGTTCAGGGTTTCGAGCTCCAGGCTCCAAAATCCGAACAGCGAAACTCTGCCTCGACCCTGGCAAACCCACATTCCTGCAGGGCTGGTGTAGGGTAGTCGTAGTAAGGAGCCTTGAACTACTAGGTTGTAGGCTTTATAGGGTTCAGGTAATCCCTACACAGATCCCAAGCCGTAAACTCTGATCCCTACCTTTTAGGGTTTAGCTCCGAAATTCATGGGCAGGTGTGTAGCTGAGCGTTTAGGGCCTAGGCGTTTGTTGATACAGGGTTCGTTTAGACAGACAGATAGATGGATAGGTAGATAGATACATAGGTAGGTAGGTAGGTAGGTAGGTAGGTAGGTAGGTAGGTAGATAGGCAGAGAGAGAGAGAGAGAGTGAGAGTACAACGGGATGTTACACCGTAGCAGGTTGGGGTTGAGGGATACTGGTTGCAGGAAATGTCATCCCAGCGTGTGCACTGGTATACCCATCGATGGTCTTGTGTCTTTTCGGAATCAGGGTGTTGAGTACTCAAACGACCAAGCCCCTGGACAATTTGCAGGGGGACGTTCGGATCCAACATGTGTCAGTAGCCTATGGTCAGTGTCCAAGTACGCCAAACCCATAGGAGACCCCCCTTACACTATTGTTATTATTACACCCTGCAGAGGCGGTAGGTGTTTGTACGTCTGAACAGGTTTTCCATCATGGAGCTCAGAAAGTTGACGCTCAGCTTCTATTGCGGTGTGTTGGAGAGGGTGAGTGAGCGTCTGTGCGTGTGTGTGTGTGTGTGTGTGTGTGTTTACGTGACATGTGTTTGCGTGCTTGCTTGTGCGCATGCGTGTGTTTGGTATCTTTCGGTTGGAGGGTGTTTCTCGCAGGGGAAACTGCTTGTGACATGCTTGAAGCTTCGTCTCGTTTGCCCAAGAATCCTAAACCCTAAAACGATAAGTCCTACCCCCTACTATCGGGGCCCAAATAATTACCAATACTATTTTGGGGGTTCCTGAGTATAATCAAGGCGCTATATTCTAATTATTGAGGCCCCTACATTGGTCCCCTTCGTGAGGCTCTTTCAGAGTGAGTTCACGAGAAAGAAGCACCGAGGATGAAGGAGGATGCGCTGGGAACTCTTCACCTCCACACTCGTCTTCTTCAGGACGGTTTACTGTTTAGGAGTTCAGGCTTTAGGGTCAGGTGTGTTTAGGACTTAGGGTTAAGGGGTTTATAGGGTTTAGGAGCTTTGGAAGCCTTCTGAGGTTATCTGGGTTCTTGTTCAGGAAATGGGTTTAAATTACCAGACTAGGGTTCTGCAGTAGAATCTATAGTCCAGCATAGGCTTCCAGTAGGGTAATTCAAATTAAGTCCCTTGACAAGAACCCAGGTTTTTGGGCTTAAGGGTTGTTCAGGATTTAGGATAGGGCCCTGAAGCTCAGAGCCTTATCCCAGATAAACCGCTCAAGCGACACGATACACGGCAAGCGCAACCTGACATGTATTTCGAAATTCGAAGTGTCCTGATCTTGGTTGAAAACGTTCAACTGTGGAAACCAGACAAGCGTGCGTGCAGCCTCGCGTGCAAGATGCCTGAAGCTGCACAGGATCCATAGATGCCATAGAAAAGAGCTGAGTTTTGTCGCCACTTTTGTCGCCACGTAAGACCCAAAGAGCCTAGCAGCTGTAATCACCTACAGATCATGCCCCAAAATTGGGTAAACGCAGGAGTCACGGTACGAATGCTTTGCGTCAAAATCTGACTGTAAGCCACGAACACCAGCATTAGTCATGGCATCTGTCATCTCAGAAACAGGAATTGAAACAGCTTTACTGATGAGAAACCGAAGAAGAACAGCAACCACATCGTACTAACACGAAAGCTTCAGCCCAAACCCCAATGCACGAAATCGGAAACCCTGGACGAAGATCCTCACCCTGAGAACGGACACCCTGAACCCCAAAGCTCAAGGGGTCACCCACATCGCCCAGCTATTTTGGACCATAAGAGCTCCATTCACAGCTTATGTGAGTACCCGCCATTTTCGACCACAAGGGTACTTGCGGGTCCGGGCCCTTGTGAGAAGCCCTAAACTCCACAAGCACTATAACCTTACCCCCTAAGCCTTGACACCTTTTCCCTTCATTATACGATTTTTGGTGTTTCGGGTTTGCGGGTGTTTAGGGGTTTTAGGGTTGAGGGACATTAGGGTTGCAGGCTTGTGCTTTTGGGTGTTGCAGTTTGGGGGATATGAGCGTTGAGGTCCAGGTGTGGGGGGGGCTTTGTGTGGCTTTGGGTTTAGATATATGAGGCTTGTAGAGTGGGGATTTGGGACGTTGGGCATTACGTAGAGCTGCCGTGAAGTCTGAGAGTTGAAAGACAGGCTCTACCTATAGCCTCCATTGTAGTTCCTTTTTGGGGTTACCTTATAGAATCCTTCATATATGGTTATACCAAAAAAAGGAACTACAATGGAGACTATAGGCAGGCTCTAGAATTCGAGAAGCCGCGCGGTCAAGCCCTTGACAGTTCTAAGGGTTTAGGGTTTAGGTGGAGTTTGGTCGGTCGTGCTTGTGGTTCCCATTCAAACACAGGCTTGGCCAGAGTGTGGTTTTCTGGGCAAAGCTTCAGCCACGTAGCCCAAAGCTTGGGCTCTTTGTGTGGGTTTGGGGGTTTGAATTTTCAATTGTTTAGAAGAATCTTAGCAAACCCTAAACCCTAAACCCCTAAACCCTAAACCCTAAACTTCGATTGAAGGGACCCAGTAGTTGCAGAGGAGCAGAACGAGCTCCTTTCGCGACTCCTCGCCGCCTGGCCGGGATGGCTACTGACGTTTAAAGGTGTGGGTTTAGGGTTTAGGCTATAGAGACCTCGTTCAAAAAAGGGTTTAGGCTAAAAGCTAGCTGTGACGGCAGAACAAACCCTTGCACGAGGATTAAAGACATGTTTGTTCCTGAATGGAAGGACAGAGGGGCTCTGCAGGTAACACCTCAAAACTTTGAAGCCAGAAACTATAAGGCGCTTGGCAACGATCATACAGCCTGGGAGCCCTGACAAACTCTGCGAATAGGGGTCCTGAGCCTGTGGGGAAAAAAGGCAAGATGCACACACTCTGCAACTGTAAGATCCGAACGCCTGTACTCTAAAGCCTAAACAAACCCTAAACCCTAAATCCTAAACCCTAAACCTCAAACCTTAAACCCCAAACCCTAAACCCTAAATCCTAAACCCTAAACCTCAAAACCAATCCTAGAGCCTGAAGATTCTAGAGCCCTAAGCCCTAAACTTATCAAAGAGTCCAACCCCCAAAGCCGCAACATGCTTGAACGCTACGAGCTCGGTCCCTCCACTAGAACCCCTTTGAAGTTTCATTTGTGGGGCGGGGGGTGGTTTGCTAATTAAAAAAATATACGAAGATGGTGCCCTTGTGTCACTGCAGAGCCGTATATCCCCGCATAAAAGCCACGAAAGAACTCTTATGGAGATCTACACAACCATTGCAATAAAGGTGGTGCTGGTAAACCGTGAAAGAACCCAAACCCTATTCAACCTAAAAGCTGCAGTGCGACTTGGTCAGCCTAAACCGCGAAAGAATCAAGCACAAACGCCGGCAAACATTGAAACAACAACTGCACCCCGAACCCTAAACCGTTTACCCTGCAATGCGGGCTCGTCCTTGCTAAGTAGGAGGGGAAAAACCCCTAAACCCCAAACCCTAAACCCTACAGCCCAAACCCCAAACCCTAAACCCTAAACCCCAAACCCTAAACCCTAAACCCCAAACCCGAAACCCTAAACCCTAAAGCCTGGAAGCAGACGTCCCCTCCGAAACTCTGAGGATGACGGCCGTAGCCCGGTGCCTCCTGCGAGGGTGGAGGTCGGTTCGCAAGGCCTGGCAGTGGGGTTTGGGGTTTAGGGTTTGGGGTTTAGGGTTTAGGGTTTGGGTTTAGGGTTTAGGGCATAAGCGGAATGATTTGGAACTAGTGTAATTTCGAGTGCGTCGTCATGTGACGATTGGCGGTTTAAGCCTGATCGTGGATGGCTCTCTGTTTTTAATTCTCCCACCCCACGCCGTCTAAGGCGGCCAAACCACCCAAACCTA